TATGTATATGTATATGTATATGTATCCGTATCCTTGCCAGCAGAGAGTTCTGATTTCAATTTCCAGAAAAAGCACATATCCCTAATGGCGCCTCCCCCCTCTTGGAAGTCTCTTTGAGGTTCTTTATTTTTTATTTTTCGAGACTCTGCTGCTAGCAGAGTATATATTAAACAGAAATAGCTCATTGAATAAATAAATGCTAGCTTATTCTGCAATGAGAGATATCAAAACAAACTCATTACAGAACTTATTACAGAAGGGACCACCTTAAAGATTTTTTAAGGTATCAGGGCATCTTTAAGGTGACATGTCGCCTGGACAAGAATCTTAGAATCTTAGTAATTTTCTGATGCGGACTGTGGGTGTGTTCCTGTCATTTAGTTACGGAAAATACTCCTTTTTGTACATCGTAACTTAATTTTCACGTCTTGCATCACCATGAATCTCAACCCCTATTTAGAAGTAATGTTGCAATGAGTTAGTTTTGCATGTGGCACCTCGGTGTGTTAACAAGGCGGAGTAGTCGACCCCAGATCCACTGAGCAGCATCGTCAGAAGTTGATAGAAATAAGTATAAAATTGCAAATTGTTCCATTCATAGTGTGTACCGGGTGTTGTTGCACCCCTACATATGTATATATATTTAATTAGATTATAATAAATTGGCAAAATCTGATTGTACCTATAATTTTCTCCATATACAGTCAATTAGTTTGACAGTTGCTTGAATGAATAACGGAAGCCCAAAGTAAACACGGAAGATAAAAAAACAGAATTATAAAGATCAGTCCAGTTGAACACTAAGTGGGATGTGACGTGTCCCTTCTAATACAGTCTGCTGCTCCTGGTTAAAGAGCGCCGCTGTTGTGAAGAATAGTACCAGTGACAGAGGCAGAGACACATATTCGCCCGTCACTGTCTCTGTATAACTGCGTGTCTGTCTGCATGAAAAGTTTGACTGACTGAGAACAAAATGTGCGGATATTTGCAGCACAAAGAGAGTGAAGAAAAATGAGTGATGGGGTGCCAGGGGGAGACGGCATCCAGACAGGAAGTGACAGAGAGTAGCTGAGTGTGAGTAGAATAATAAAAGAGGATGAGACTCTGGAAAAGCAACGAGCCGTCCCACCTGATCTCCTGCTGTCTGTAGAAGTGCAGAGTTCGCTGCAGAGCCTCCTGCACCGTCTGTGTCTGCAACAGCAAGACGCAAGTGTTAGGAAAAGTGGAAAAATAAAATGCATATTGAATACTACAATACATACTGCAAAAACACCAGTGTTGGCCACAATTAGAGCCACAAATTGCCTAAAGTGGACGTTAACGTGAACTGTGAAATACAGGATCTAACAGCTAGCCAAATAAGTAAATGTTAGCCAAACATATTTTAGGTTAGCCACAGTATATGGTGCAAAAGTTGAGCAAGAAAACAACTTAGGAATATCCAAAAATAAATTGATTAAAATGGCTTAACGCCCACGTGTCAAACTCAGGCTCGGGGGCCAAATCTGGCCCGCAGTGTAATGATATTTGGCCCACGAGATCATGTCAAATGTGTACTAGAGTTGGACCGCCAGTATTTAGGTCCTGTATACTGGCGGGATTTGTAGTGTTAGCCTTGTATAAGCTATGTTATAGGACATAGGAAAAAAAAATACATTAAAAAGGAACTCAAAAGGCTACAGATAAAGAGACATAAGAAACAAATACCACTGATGTGTGTTTTATTTCAAATTTAATTTCTCATGTGTTTATAATATTAAGCTTTGGTTGTTCCCGATCCAATGTTTACACAAAACTAAAGTTTGTTTCCACATGAAAAATTCAGCATTACAGATCTGAAGAGAAGAGAAAACATGGACAATTGCCATCAATGTTTTATAAATATTAAGTTTGGCTGAGGCTTCGTTCTAGTTTTTAGTTTTGGCCCACTCTGAACTTGAGTTTGACACCCCTGGCTTAACGCAAGGCCTAATCAGCAAAAGTTGTTAGCCCACTGCATGATAAACTGTCCTAGAAGTGTTTTCAAAATATCTGAAAAAAAAACAAGGGCAAGATCCTGATGTTACAAAGTTAATTTTCCTATCCTGGTGTGTGCGTCTAATAAGAGAAACAATAATTCGTAATGAAAGAATCCTCTGTCTGCGTCCTTCATTCGGCTACTCATTTACCACAGGACGGTCAGGTTACACCGTGTGTTTCAACAATATGTCCAAGCACACAGGCCCAAACCGTTATCAGCCGCAAACACACTGTACAAACACACTGTACACATACATCATCATTAGTCTGCATTGTTACAATGGCTGGAATGTTTACCCGACACACACACACATTAATCTCACTCTGTCACACACCCTCTCGCTCAGATGGTAGGATTTGGTGAGCAGACGAGTCGTGATTGGCTGCTCGTTGGGATAAGCCCTTAAATCGGCGATCCCGTACAATAACGACACCGAGTCGTGTCGTAATGAACAGCTTCCCCTGAATGAGGTGAGGACTTCCTGTCTCTTGTTGCTTCATATAAGGTCAACTTTCACGGACTTCAGTCAAGTCTCACTTAATCATCCAATCACGCAGTGCAGCCAATCAGAACCCTCTCCCTCATCCTTCATCACTGCAGCATCCTTTTGAAGGTTTGTTTTTTTTCTCTGTAAGAATACGCTGGTGGTCTGTGGTTCCGGAGCAGTAGGTTGTGGTGCTTCAGCACAATTGGAAACCTGCCATCACTATTAAAGAAAATGGAGACTCGCAGCAGATGAGACGCAACTAAAATAAACCTCAGCATGAGAAACGAGGACTCCTCTCAGTCACGGGGCAGGGTGAAAAAGTCCTGCAGGGCTAACAGGGGAAACGGTGTAGTCCTTTTTCTCCCTCACAGTTCATATACTGGTGAGTCTATGAAGCACTGCGGTTGTAGACTGAACACAAGGATTAACTGCCTGTCAGGGGTGACACGCTGCTCCGATCTTCATCTGCAGGTGATCTAAATCATAATCCTGGATGCACCTGAAAATAACATTTATACAAAATTATGCACAAAACCCTGTTGTTGTTTTTTTCAGGGGGGAGGCGAGGGGTTGGTTTTCTATCAGTGCCATGTTATCATGTCCTGTCCTCAGCAAAGGACATTATATTTTAGTTGACATTGTCTCTCTTCAAGCGGCGAGACTAAAAGTCATCAAGGACATATTTTGATTGAATTTACAGGGGACATAGTTTATGGCCAAAAGAAGAAAAAAAGAGTCAGAATTCACACATAAGTCAAGTTAATTACCGTGTTTTCCAGATTATAAGTCACACTTTTTTTTTCATCCTCTGGCTGGGTTTGCGACTTATACTCGGGTGCGACTTATATATTGAAATATGTAATTTCCCATCGTTTGTTATTTTCACACTGACAGCCGCTAGAGGGCACTCTAGGCTTGTGTACCAGTATCTGTTACTCCTGTACCACTGACAATGTAAATGTTTGTTATTTACATACTGACAGCCACTAGAGGGCACTCTAGCTGGCTGGTGCGACTTATACTCCGGAGCGACCTATATATGTTTTTTTTATTATTGTGCATTTTTTGGCTGGTGCGACATATAGTCCGAAGTGACTTGTATTCTAGAATTTTTTTTTTTTTACTGTTAGCTCCTGAACTGTATTTCTAAACATTCCTATTCAACTCAGCCAGTGTTTACACATGTAACAGAATCACAGAGGACTACTCTGTGCACCATGTCATACATTATATAACACATTGTAATTAAGAGACTTATAATTACGGCGTTGACCTTTACAGATTAAACATTTTGATTCGGTGGTTTTACACTTTCCATATTTGCTGCCAACACTCTGGCCTGATGATCATGGCACAGGTCACTGAACTAATGACCACCTTACATGTGAGAGCAGTAGCAGAGGCGGTGGGTGTGTGTGTGTGTTGTAGCAGAGGCGGTGGGTGTGTGTGTGTTTGCACACGTGCGTGCGTGCGTGCGTGCGTGTGTGTGTGTACGGTGGCTTCTAGGTCAGGGTGGTCTGGGTGAAGACAACAACAGAGAACATGCTCTGTTCCCCCCGTCATGGTTCAGTGCAGTCAACAACAGACACTTCCATCGCAAACAGCCGCGGTTTGAGCGCAGGAGTCAGCCTGATTGCTTCTGTATCGCCCTATTAATAGAAGCAATTAGGATTGTTACTATTATTTAACGGGGCCCGCCGCCGCCATTGGACATCTACCCTCTCCGAGCCCCCCCCCCATGACAAAAGGCCTATCACTGTAATGACCCTTAAATATTTAGATTTGCATTTCAAGGCTCAGCTGACGGCGTTAATTGCAGACAGAGGTGAACAATGACCTGCTTTCATGCAGACAAAAACACTTGTGGTTCACCACAGTGACCACATACAAAGGAAACGCATCAGAGTGTGTTAAAAATGGGTCTCCAAGTGTTGGCTTCAGTCCTCCAGCTTCTCACTGACTTTCTCTCTACACTCTTCAGTTTTCAGTTTTTTAAGTTTGAACCCGGCTCCTGCAAAAGTATCGATAAATATTGTGTTGCAATATTGAGTACCCATGAGTAACACAACAAGCTTGGAGTTTATATTCTGTTAGAAGAAACTCATTCCTGACCTTATGTTTTCTCTCTTACATCAGTTTAAAGTTTCTTTTTTTTTTTTTTGCATGTTATTTCATCAAATAACCAAACTTTTTTGTTAATGGTATTTTTAAGAAGAAAAATAAAAATCGGATAAATCAATAAATACAATTGATTGCAAAATCAACACTCCAAAATATGACCAAACCAAATATTTATTAACGCCAGATGTTTGTATGGATTTGGGAAAATGTCAAGAAAAATATGGAAAAGTCGAAATTTAGCTTCATGAAGTTGCTGGATTTATACATTTTATATTAATTAAAATCTAAAAGAAAATAGTCTCTGAAATGCAAAAATAATTCTGTTGAACGACAGCTAAAAATTATGACTGCAGTTAATACAGCCAATAGAGGTTGACATGTCTTTAGCAACCAAAATTAAATAAATCTCAGGAATATCTGTTTAAGCAATGTCACAAAATCTAAGCAAACAGAAACCAGAAAAATCACTTATCACTGGGGATCGAATCTGGAACCTTCTTAAAGTAAGGTTCCCTAAACTATGCGGCTCTTTAGCTAAGTTTTTCTCCAATAAATTATAAATGAGCAGTGACGATTTAAATCTTTAAATCTCGCGTTGCACTCAGCAAACTGGCGTCTCAGTCTGTGTCACTCGAGGCTGTTTTATCATGATAACAGCACACTAAAAAGTCTAGGCTTGTCCTCATCCTAAACATCAGTCCTTCCTGTCTCCCAGTGTGTCAGTGTAGAGCAGCCGTGCAGCAGCTGAGGGCCACATTGCAGGAGATGCAATCAAATCCAACAATGGCACGACAGGATTTTCGAACCTTATGTCATCTATCACTGTTGAGCTTGTTTCTAATATCATTACATTGCTGCCTGTACAGTGGTACAACAGAGACATCAGGAGAGACAAACCTCTGGTCTGACACACACACACCCACGTCCTAAAACACAGGCTAATGCAGGCATGGGCAAACTAAGGCCCGGGAGCCGGATGCGGCCCGTTCAGTTTTTTAATCCGGTCCGCCAAACTTTTCCGAATTGTATTATTTATTTATATTATCATTATACTTCTGCCTTTTATTGCAATACCCATGTTCTCCCAATAGGTGGCGTGGAAAACGTGCATGACTTTTACATGTCATTTATCTTAGTTCACACCAACACTCCATCTATCTGCTCCTGACCCAGCCCCCCTGTTCACCCCCACAACTCTGGGAAGTGTTCAGGAGTTAACGAATGAACACCGGGGTTAAATAAAAACTAAAGTCAGGATTTGAATTTTGTCACAAACAGCCTTTGACTACGTCTTTAAAGATTTCTGCAACACAACTTTGTTTCAGAGATACACACAGTACATATTTTTCTATACTATACAGTTGCATCACTTGTTATTTACATGTATTATACAACTGTTTTATATGTTTTATAACCTGAATATTTATTTATAATATTTGGAAGAATTATTAATTATTCTTATACAGTGCAATGTTTTTTTTTTATTTTTTTGTTTTTTTTATTTATTTTTTTGCTAACTTATTTTGTATTTATTTCCCCAGGGTGAGCTGACAGCTGCAGGCCTTACCGTGGGTGATGTCAGTCTCTTCAGACTCTCTCCCAGCGAGTCCAAGTTCACCCGTCTCCTCCTGGTGACCCTCTTATGGGGACCAGCACTTGGTCCATGCTGCTGCTGCTGCAGCTGATGATGATGCTGATGCTGCTGATGCTCCTCACCCGCCGGGCACAGCGTCCTCTCGGCGAGGCTGCGGCCGTTCCAGAGCACCGCTCTGTGAGAGGACGTCAAGCTGGCGAAAGGGCAGCCTCGGCTCTCCTCCGCCGGTTCCAAGGCGCCGTCCCCCCCGTCTCCCCCGGGGCTTTCGAGCCCGCAGTCGGAGCCCACGGAGCTACTGAACGACTCCGAGGAGATCTTTCGTGACGACGAGGACATGATGGTAGTGGTGAGATTGGAGGAGAGGAGGAGGTTGGTGGGGATGACAGCGCTGAGGACGATGGTGGTGGTGGTGGTGGTGATGGTGGTGATGATGAGGATGATGATGATGCTCCAGCCGGTTCCGTTGCACGTCCACCTTCAAGCCGGGGAGTCATCAGATTCCGGGGAGGGTGAGGTTTGTCTGTAAGATCATGTACGCATGTTGTTTGTGTGTGTGCGCGTCAGTCGAGGTGCGTGCCAGGTGTGCCTGTGAGGATGTGTGCGTAAAAGAGGCGCGTCTGTGCGCGAGTGTTTGTGTGTGTGTGAGAGAGAGAGAGAGAGAGAGAAAGAGAGAGAGAGGGAGAGAGAGTCTGTCCAGGAGAGGGGGGAGGAAGGGGGATAAAAGGAAGGAGGTGGTCGACCGAGAATTAGAGAACTAACGGCACGCAAACGTTTATGTAAGGGGGGGGGGAGGAGACGACGTGGAGGAGAAGGTGGTGGAGATGGAGGTATCCGTCCTGTTTCACCTCCCAAAACAGACCCAGGCTGCAGCTCCCTCCCAGTCTCCCCTCTCCTCCTTCTCACAGAAGATGCTTCAAAGAAGAGCAGATCAGAACCGCAGACGGTCAAAGGTCGACAATAAGTTGGTCCCTCATGGTAAAGTCCCACGCACGTTATCCCCGCCTCCTCATTGGTGCACTTGTCTCGCAGTAACGTTGTGATTTTCTTGGAAAAAATGTGCCAAATTCTAAGCAGATGTGTCTGACTCTCTTCTCCTTGTCTTCTGCGACCGAGCTCCTGTCCGTGCGTCCGTCCGAGTCTATCATCGTCCGCAGGACGGTGGTCACCTCCTTGTTCTCCTCTTCTGCCGCCGCCTCCTTGTTCTCCGCTGGCTTTTTTTTTTTGTGTGTGTGTCGTATTTTATGGTCGCCTGAAGTGAGCCGCTGTGCGCTGAGGTGACTGTAGTGGTGATAAGTGGGCGAGCAAGATGGAAAATTTGGAGGGATAGAGAGAGAGAGAGAGAGAGAGAGAGCGGAGTTTCTGTCAACATTACAAAATCAGTATAAATATAAGTTGAAACAACGTTTAGCATGAAATACACTACAAAATTACAAAAAAAAAATATGGTTAACCGATTTAGTTCTTTTTGTTAAGTTGACTTGGGCGATTAGTCCAGCCAGTGGAACTGCTACGTCATCACGTTTTCTGACGCTGTCGAAAGGGTTTAGGGGGGTAATTAACGATACGATAAATGTCACTTCGTTCGTTATCGGATTGAGCCCGTTATCCGTTTTGTCATTTTTTTAAAATTGTGCACAAAATCGGAAATCGGAAAAACGATTGTTTTTTTTATTATTATTTTGGTTATGGTAACAAACATTGGTAAAATTCGTTCTTTTTTATAGTTTTGGTTTTTAGGGATTTTTCTAGGGATTTTATGTTTATAAGCAGTATATTTTTTTTTGGACATATGTATGTGGATCAACACATATCCATATATATATATTTGGAGTAGTATGTGTGAATTAATTTTTAATTAATTGTTTTCTTTCTTTGGTTAAACTTGCCAACCACCTTCTTCTGCGCTATCTCAAGCAGAAGTAAATTGTTTCTGTCGCCATCTAGTGGGATCAATTAAAAATGCAATTGACAATAAAAACCAGTCTTTGCCCAACTGACCGTGTCTGGTCCACGGGCCACTGATTGCCCATGGCTGGTCTAAATTGGACTCTGGACTGTATGTCCAAATGGCTGCTCATCTTACTGTCCAGGTTTTACCCAGACGCCCCAGATGAGTGCTGCGATTTGCCCAAATAAAAGAATGCAATGCCCACGATTATTCGTCAGTTAATTGTTACATCTCATAAATGTCAGTTCTGCAAGTCTTTCTCGTAATTTAACATCACTCATGGCTTACTTACTTCCGCGTTCGCTGCCTCCCATCGGAGCACAGGATGACGCTCGTTTCTGTCACTAACGACAGCCACGATGACCTTGACCTCGATGGGCACAGCTTGTCGGTTCATCACGGCCCCCCAAAGGGGACAAGTGCTGAGTGAGACACTGACACAGACATGACGCCTCATTGCACACACACGGCATGTGTAATTTCCTGGAGGTGGCAACTAATTCATTTGACTTTGTGCAGCAAACTGACCCTGATACACCGCATTGAGTTTTGTCCCCTCTTTTGATTTAACGCACACACACACACACACACAAACTATGTTGTATTGTACAGACGTTCTGTGTTACACGCTCCAGTCTCCAACTCTCTCTCCTTATCAGGTTGCCCGCTTGAGCAATCAGCTTGCCATCCATCAGTAATAATGTGAGCGTTTAATAGAAAGCAACATTAGAACAGAATAAATTACGTTGCGGAGGAGATAAGGCCACCAGCCAAGAGTCTGCCATGAGCTGGAAGCTCGCCAGCAGAGTGCAGACGTGAGAAGTAGACCAGAAAGTGTGTCATCAAGAAATTGGAGCAGATACTATAACATCAGATCTACATATTTGATGTTACAGTGTGTGTATACATATACATATATATACAGTATACAGTATACATTATACTGTATACTGTATACTGTATGTATATATATAGTGTTCTCTATATCGCTGTTCTCCTTTTGCTCCCCAGTACATTGAGGATTTATTTTTTAATCCAATTTTTAAAAAAATCGAAAATATATATTATAAAATACTTATTCATACAAAAGTTTTTGCTTTAAAAACGTGGATTCTTATTTTGAAATTGAGATGAATGATCGCTGGTAGCTTTGTTCAGCTAGATCGTACACGGCATACTATTGGCTAAAACAATGCGCACTCGGTGTATTGGCTAATTGAGCACGCTCTTCTGTTCCTCATACTGATTGGCTCACGCAACGTAGCATCTCTCAGCATCTCCCCTTGTCTGTCGGCCAATCTCTCGTTCACTTCGATCTGCATCGCCTTTACACAAATCCACTGTGCATATAATTCTGTGGGAAAAGGGAATACAGTCTAGGGAGGGTTGATAACAGTGTGGGGGAGGTTCGTAAAGGGTAAATATATATGTAAATAATATAATAATGGAAGGCAACTACCGTTATATACAGTATATGTATATATATAGATATATATATATACATATATACAGTTCATGTATGTAAAGATATAAGAAGAAGAAACACTTTCACTAAACGAATTTCCCTCAGTTGTGATCTACATTCTTTCTAGATTGGTCATCTTTTTCAGTATTAAGCCTATTAAAGAAGCCGTTATTCACATTTACAGACAGTTTTTGGCTTGAAACGTCATTCTCTATCTCAGAGTTGTCCAGCACCAGCCATTATTTTTGATAACAGTCTGTACACCATGCCAGAACATTCCTTGGCAAATACAGTAAAGCCTTTACCAAACACAGTGCTGGTCCAAAACATTACCTCAGACTGATGGATATTTGACATTTTCAGTTATTTTGTTTCACAATTAAATGGAGGAGAAGACACACGTTAGAATGAACATATTGACTTTAAATGAAGTATTAGCAATTCGTTGTTTTGAGACTATAAGGGAACCACATGTGTATATTTCTATATATACACATGTATCAGGATACAAAAACGAATCCTATGGAATAACCCACAAAGTAAATATTTTTTATAAATCTATAATAATTTTCTGTCTTTAATCATAAATTAAGGTCAATTGTACCATTGCAACTATGTCTTCTGTTGTATCTTATTACTTGAAATGGATGGAGTCGTTGCTCTAATGATGTGACACAGAGGCTTGCGTATAAGTATATATATAAGTATATATAAGTATATATATATATAAGTATATATAAGTGTGTATATATATATAAGTGTATATATATATATATATATATATATAAGCATTAATCTAAAATAATGAACACGGCTTTAAATGTTAATGTTTATACAGATAAGATACTGAGAGAGCCGGAGCTATTTATTCATGAATGACCAAGATGAATAAGAAAGTTTAAACAGACGGTGCACTCTAACCCACACACATCATTAATTCAGGGAAATGTTATAACATGCAGGGCCGTAAGTAGGAAATACGCAACAAACAAGAGGGCAAGTGGCCAACATGTTTTTCAGAAAGATTTACACTGTATGGTTCTTGGAGGTAAAATGACTGCAGTATGTACAGTATGTGTTTAAAATACTCAGTGTTTAAAAATACTTATATATATAATAATATAAAATACTT